GAATATATCTATGCACCTCCAGGTAAGTAAACTTCAGACTTTACTGATAGAACACTCAGTGAATGTAATGCACTCATTATGACCTTTTTGTAAGTTTCTGAAGGACTAGATTTAATGCTACTCTTTTCAGTTAATTTTGCCTATGCCCTCCAGATCCTGACTGTGAAACTGCAACAGGCTTTAGTTCAGCAGAACCTACAGCAAACTTGGTAAGCTTTAGTCACTGTCTGTTCAGATTAGGAATTCTTGAAGTGTGTGACATTTTTCATAGAAGCTGTCCTTGAATGCAGGCTTAACATAGTAGGTCAGAGACTTCTTCTGGAAGAAAGGAATGATGGCTTCATTTATATGTTCACTCCGGTTTTCCTCCCTAAATGATGAGGCTTTTATCTGAGTCCACAAGTACAGTCTGAATTGTACTAAATACATTAATGATTTTTTCACCTTTCCCTCTGCAAAGGGAAAGCATGTATTTAAGTGTTGTTGACTTCTTCTTTTCCTGCACCAGACAGCACTTGCTTTTACCATGCTACCCTTCAAGTCCTGTTCCAGTTAGTCTTACTCCTCTACTGTGGGACCAGAGGGACCTCACCTCTGATAGAACTGTCTTTGGAATACTTTTTTTTTTAATCTGAAACTAAATCTCTAGTCACCCACTGGTCTACTGAGCGTGTGAAAGCCAGTCCTGTGCATGTCAGAATAAAACTGCTTTTACTTGATTTACAAAAGATCCTCTGTGTGTATATAGTCCATAAATAAATTAAAGAAAAATTAGAGGTGTGATGTGTGTGCCTTGTGACTTCTTTGTCTCTTAAATGGACCATGCTTTGCTTTGGAATCCCTTCAGGAAGAAGGGCCGGTCTCTGTGTCACCTCAAGATGGAGTGGCTTCTTACAGCTATCCCCAGAAGGTAGTATCTGGTACTTTATTGTGGTAGTGCTGTGGAAAGGTGACCGCTCTGCTTGGTTAGTGTTGATTGGTGGGGTGCCTCTACCTGCCCTTTACAGCATCTTGTAGCAAAGAATACAATTCGCTATAAATGTAAGCAAAACAGAAGAGTGAGAAGATGCCTTACAGGTGTCTGCAATTCTAAACTGATATTTTCAAGCCAATTTTTAGAGAATGTGGATAGTTAGCTACCTTTACAGCTAGGACTTCCAAAATGCGTTTATGTGAAGTGGGAATTTTTGAACTATGTGATATTTCCATAGTCTTTGTCAAAGCCAGTTGTAGAGGCAGCCTACTGAATACTCTGACTCTTTTCCAGGTGATGGTGAACTCTGCAGCAATCTCAACCTCAGCAGGTGTTTATGCTGCTCCAGCTACAGGCTTCTCCTCCAGTTCTGCTGCCTCCACTCCAGCCAGTGTCACCACAGCAGTTTCCCCACAAACAGCAGTTCAGCCAGTCATAGTATCTCCCCTTTCTCTAGGGAGGCCAGGTAGAGTGTACATACTACAGCTATGGACTTGGATGTCTTAAGTTTTTGGTTACGTCTTCCCCTCCTGTTTGTGTTTGGTTTTTTTTTTTTCTGCCTATCCAAGACAAATGTTAAAAGGCTTTAACAACAACAACAAAAAGTATCACTTGCTTTGGTGTCAAGTGACTTAAGAGTAGTTGCAACTTCACTGCTGACTTCTTGCTTCCATGTTTTGAATGGGAGAGTTGTTGGTGAATTTGCATGGGAATTGGAGGTCTCTGCTTTGGGTTCCCCCCTTGCCACCTTTAGCCATCAGTGGCAAGTGTTTTGCTAGGAAGTTGTTTTCAGAAGGCAGAAGTTCATGGGAGTTCCCTTCTCCCCCTATTTCCTACAGTTAATTTTCCTCTTGAGTTGAGATCTTGGTTCTGAGGCTTTACTATGCCTTCCAAAAGGCATATCTGTGATGGTTCAGGATCCACACAAATGTCCGATTGATTTTTGTGGCCCTTATTTAGCTCCTCTGCATAGTTATTTCTGTGCAAGGAGATCAAATTTGTAATTTGTCATGTGGTGCGCTTATCGCCTGAAATGCTGTATTGACTTTGTTCTTGTGAAATGTCTGTTAAGAGGGGGGGGGGAAAAAGGATTTTTCCCTTCTTATAAAGAGGACTCTTCATGTCTTCTGTAACTCTTCATTTAACATCCAAAAAAACCCGTCCACCTTCAGTTCTACTCAATTCTGTCTCCCTTTTCTTCTTCATTTTTCTCCTTGTTTTTCTTTTTTTTCCATTCTACATGAGAGTTTAGTCAGCACAGTTCCCTAAGCTGTCTAGTAGCTGATGCCGTTGGAAATAACCTGCTGGTGTGTAAGAGGTGTGGGCCACCTAATGAATGTTTAATGGTAGTCTGTCCAAAATCTTTGGCCTGACATGTCTTGAACCTTCCCTTATTTTTGTGGGCTTATTGTCACACTTCTGATGACTTAAAGCAATGAGTCCATTAACTGTCTGTCCTAGAACAACAGGGATGTAAGGAAAATCTGGCCTGCCTTCTCGTATGGAGAAATGATTGAAAGATACATTTATTCTTAACTGGAATATGAAGCTTGCAGATGGACATATGGTTAAGGCTTGTGAGATTGGCACCTTCCCATGTGGTTTTAAAATTTCTTCTGGACTTTTAAAGTGATTACTAAAGAGAACTTTGTTAAAGCTTGTATTTAGGGGCTCTGAGATGACAAAGAAGCACATGCTTAATTGTGTAACTTAGCATCTTGCTCATTTGACATGCCATTGCAAATTTGACTTGACTTCTGTTTCCTTCTAATTGTAGCAGTTTCTTCGGTGCCACTCCCAATTTATTCAGCTCCTTTTCCTCCAGTTAGTGAGGTGGGAGAAGCTGGTGCCGTTCTCCCTCCTTACTCTTGTGATCCCAGCGGCAGTGATCTGCCTCGAGGTAACGACAGTATTTTGTGCTTTTACTGCTGCTGCTCTTCAGCACACTTCTGGCTTTTCTTCGTGGAAACTTAACAGAATACCTATAGTGAGAAGAAATGGCTCTTTGCAGCTCTCAGGGAGTGAGAAATAATATTATGGATGCTTATGCTAAAAATGTTTTAATTCCCAGTTCTGAATAGCAACTTCGTACCTGACTCAAATATGTGATTACTGCAGCTTTAGACAGCATCCTAAAAAAAACACGACGCCTGTATTTACTACATCGTGCTGTTGCACAGTTCAGTGGGACACTGTGGTGTTTTCCTGTATAGCTCCAAGATGTCATTTTGTGGTATCATAAACCTGGGATAAATTTGTAGGGTCATCTTGTTGCTTGGGTGCATAGCCTTTTTGTATTCTGTTGTCAATTATGACAATGTTTAAGGTACACTTCAGCTATTAAGCAACAAGTGTGCAAAGACCAACACAGTACCTACCAGCAGAGCAGCTCGGAAACAGCTTTCAGCTTTATCAGCTGAACATGGATTTCATTTCAAAAATGGTAATCTCTAGTCAACTTGCACTTAGAGTTTAAGAGTATCAGCATACCGTGCAAGGTTGCATCAGACAGCCAAGCTTGGTAAGCAGTGCAACAGGCATATACTTTTGTGATTTTTCTTTTTTTGTTGTTGTTACTGATTTATCCCATCATTCTGTCATGTTTATGGCTCGCAAGTCATAAATAGAGCCTGTAATTCATAGAGCTTTGTTTAATAACTCAAAGATCAAGCTGTCCTTGTTGCAAGCGAAGTGCCTCTCGCCTATGGGAATAACAGTAGTACTGCTTGCTCTTCTGCTGTGTAACTTGTTTTTCTCTAGGTGGGGAATGCTGTGAAGGCCCACCATTGTATCACTTGCATACATCTTAAGAGGCAGATAAAACTATTCTGTGATGCAGTGTCTTGTCTTAGCTGATAAGGATTGTTGGTTGTGTGTAGTTTTGGACAGCTGTAGAAAACACTCTACCCTGTCCATGTCCCCTTGGTCAGTCTTTTGACAGTGCATTTGCTCAAACTGCACTAAGGGTTAAAAACTTAGAAGGGCTGTAGAAGAAAACTTGGTTATTCAGCCTGCTTGTCATCTTGATAGCAAGATTCAGCTTGTCCTAATGTGTAGTGCTCAGACTGGAGCAGAAACGGTCTGGGTATGAGTTGGAGTTCAGTTTTAGTTACCTGTGTTGCCCCTGCATCATGTACAACAGCTTCAGCTATTTCTGCCTTCTCTGGCAGGGAGCAGGAGGGGAAGCTATTTTTGGTAGTAGCAAGGCCAAGCTAGAGGTAAGCTGTAGCCTACTCTGAAGAGCAGCAGTGCAGAACTGACTGACTGTTTATGTCTTTGTTGCTCAAGTAGTGAGTGTATCTCTGCACATTGGTTGATGTACGTAGGCTTTTTAAATATCCCCCCATGCACTGGATATGTTGAAAGTCTCTGCATCATAGCTGGCTTGTTCTAACAGCCATCTATAGATAAAATCATGTCATTTGCTGTATCAGACTGACTAGCTTTGGTTCAAGTTCCTGAATCTCCCATGTTCTCTGTTGAAATAGTGTAGCTTTTCATTCAGGGGTGAGTGAGGGAAAGAACTAGCTGTGTATATGTAGGGTCTGTGAAATCTAAGCGTTCCTTTTTGCACTGCTTTGAAAAGTGTAGTTTCACTATAACTGTCTCACTTGACTTCCTCCCCCCACAAAACCCCCCATCCTTGTAACTAACTGTGTTTCAGGTGTATGGCAGTTGTAGCTTTTATTGCATCAGAATGTAAAGCTTTTGGGTTTTATTCTGCAATGTATTACTTGGAGATGGAGCATAAAATACCTGAGTAATGCAAATTGTTTTCATGCTTGATTCAATGTAATGCCATCTAAAGTAGCTCTTGTCCCGGTGTGGGGTTTCCCTCAATGTACTAATCCCAGAGGGCTAATTTGAGATAAGATAAAGAGCTACTCTTGATATCTGCAGTTCAGGTAGCTACGTCTGGCAGGTTGCGGAACAACTTCGGGCTGAAATGCTATGGATTCTTTCAGTTGCGTTTACCATGTAACGTGCTTGTCTTGTCAGAAGTTGATCTGGAAAAAGGCAGGTTCCAAAATGCTACGGCACCACTGCTCAAAGACCTGCTGCTTTCACAGGTACTGCTGATGTGCTCTGGAGTAATTCTGCTCTCTTGCAGGTGCTCTCAGTTCCTGGTTTTGTTAATCTTGAATATCCTGTTTTACACTTCCCTGATGCCGTAGCATTGCTCTAGATGATACTATGAACACATCAGAGTTGACGGTTTTCAGCTTTAGTTGAATGCCCTTAACTGAGGCTTTCAGCACTTGGGAGAATTGGGTGTTAAGTGTACTGACAAGAATCTGGAGTGGATGTGGATTAATAACCTCTTCAGACCCTGCCTGTAGCTCTTCAGCTGAGTCCTTCCACATAATATTGGCCATATCCTTCTCGGCATAGGCTCTAGAATTTTTTGTAAGGATTTTAAAATTGGTAGTTAACAAGGAATTGCATGTAGCATTTATATTGTCGCGCTGCTCTGATACAATCTATATGGCCTTTAAGTTAGGAAATCCAGAAGCTTTGGAGTAGCACAGGGTAAAATATGCAGGTATCATTGACCTAGAGGTCTGTGCACTTTGCTAAAGATACTTGCAGACCTGGTATAGATTGGGAGTGTGACTTTTCAACAGACAGAATTCCTGGACTTGGGAGAAAAAGCTGCCACATGCCTTATTATTGCTTGGTACATCTGCATTTGTTCCAATTTTCAGAGACTCTTGGATCTCTTTTTTGAAGGAGCTTAGAGCTTGTGAAACATGTTTGTTAACATGTTGACTTTAGGTGTCCTACCCTTGCCTGCTCCTTTGTTTTGAAGGAGCTGTTGGTTAAAAGACCGCTTGATATTACTGTGTTCCAGAGACTGCAGTAGTGCTCAGGATTGACCAGAGCTTCCTATCAGCACAGTAAAAATTTTACCATGATTTTTGTCCTCGTGCATTGTAAGGTGAGATTTTTATCTGTAGTCAACATGGTCTTTATATTCTCATGTCAGAGTGGTTAACTCTTTTTGGCTTAGCTATTGCTTTGTAAGATAGTCATGTTTTACTGAAGATTGACTTGATTTCTAGACATCTAAAAGAGGAATATAAACAAAAACTGACCTCCTACTGTACTGGTTTCTGTTCAAGCATTCCACAGACGTCAGTATTTCCAGTATCAGTTTGTCACTTCAGACTCCCAGCTCTTCCTTTGTACTGTTATCGCTGCTATGAAGCAGCTGTTTCATTCAGCTCTTATGCTTGTTTTGCATAGATTTGCATAAACAATTGAAGAACAAAATCAGATTTTAAAAAAAAAAAACCACAAAACCAACTTGTTCCAAACGTGCATGCAGTTTCAGCTAGATACTAAAAAAGTTGTCATTTATGTTGAGCCTTTGTGTTATTTTTAATATATTACTGACTGTGGTCAATGTCATAGCCAAACCACCATCACTTTCAGGAGTAAGCTTACAACTGGTGGATGTAAGGAAGGGTCTGTGTGCACTCACTTCCTAAAATAGCTGTGTGGATTGTTACCCTGATCAAATATGCTGAACAGTAAAAGAATTGAGAATTAGCAATAGCGACAGAGGAACAAATCCTTGTGCATGTCAAGACTGAGGTTTACGTTTCTGACACTGCCTGTCTGCAGCAAAACACGATGCACAGTACTGTAGAAGAGCAGGGCTGGGAAAGCGTGCACATGTGGTAGATAGGTAGACAGGGGGGCTATGTGGAGCCAAGGCCCTGGTCTAGGGGAAAGAGGGTAGGTGGTAAGAAGATAGTATATATGGTAACTCTGGAGGCATTGCTAATTTGAAGCCCTTAGTGACTGGCTCCTTTTGAGTTGTGTCCCTGCTTTCCCTTTCGGCTCCCAGCAGTACTAAAGCAAAGTTGGTGTGCGTGCACACGCTTGCAAAACTACTGCTGTAGAATGGGTGACTTGCTCTTCCTGAGCCTTTAAAACAAATCTGTATTTGAATCTGAGAAATCAGCAGTTTTTCTCATGCACAATTCCAGAACTGCATCATAGAATTAAAACATGCGATCTCTTTTTTTTCCTTTCAGTGGTCAACTTTAAAGGTTTAAAACTGCTTCACTGTTTTTGGACAGTTGGAAATGCGTTTCCAAGTTCAAAACCCTGTTGTTCTTGAAGAGTGGTTTCAAAGTTCCTGCACACATCTGGGATTGCTTCTCAGCACATCATGTATTTGCTTGGGGGCAAATTATTCAGTACAAGGGAAACAGAAGTAAAAGACAACTTGGAAGAAAGCAGGGAACTGAGTAACCTTGTGAGGAAGGGGAAGGAACACATTCCTTATTTCCCCTCCATTTTCTGATTGATTGAGCAATTGAACAGACCCCCAAAACTAGGTCAGAAGGTCTTAGGGTTGCTGCATGTGTTGTCCCCGTTGACATGTCTCTCTGGTTATTGCTGAACAAAGCTCTGAAGATGGCGATAGTGGCAGAGCCAGACTTAACACTGGGCAGCAGCACTGTGAAGCTGGAGTCTCTGTGGAGTTGGACCATTGCCTTGTGTGCCAGCCCAGTTATGGGTATTTGCAACACGTATGCAGAGTGTGTATATAATGTGTGTACATCGGGGGTGAATTGTCACTTGTGTACGAGAAGGCTGCTCCTGCCTGTCTGCGTGCTTCCAAACGCCTTCTCATTTCTGTAGTGAGGGAGAGGGGGAGTGCTTTTAGTGGTCAACTTAATTTAGGGGCTCATAATCAAATTCTTATTTGATAAAATACTTTTTCATCTAAAAACCCAGCCTTAATAGGAAGCTAGAATTGCTTAAGTCCTAGTTACTTAGACAGTGGAAACTTGTAACAACACTGACAATTATCACTTGAGTAATAAAGATGAATAAACCAAAGTTAAAGCTAATGTAATTGTTGAAGTTAGATAATAAGTTGGTCAGACAAATGTTCTATTATTGCACAAACATCTAACTGGATTAACTTAAAAAGACAAGCTAGTTCTAACAACTATTCATATTCAAGAGATATTCTTTATCCTCAAAACTTTAAAGAAAAAGTAGTGCTAAAATATTCATTAAGTAAGAGTAACTTAAAATAAAATGCTCTTAATGTGTGTAAATTTATTCTGCTTCTTGGTTTATGCTCTTTTGCTTTTTAATGTTACATCCTTTAATTTCAGATACAAAGGTCTTGCGGTATTATTTTAATCTGGGATTGCAAGTAAGTGCTTTTAAAATAAGCATAGTAAATTGCCTGTAAAAACTGCTGGTTTTCTTGACTAATGTACCAATGTACTTAAGACTTCCAAGTGTGCTAAATGTGCATCCTGTGCACTTGACTATTAATAGGTATAGGCTTGCTTGGTGGAGATTAAAGTATAGCTCAGGAAATGAAGTTCTAACTCAATGTGAAGCATACTAGTATGTATGTTTAGTTGTTTTACTTTGGGTTGTAGCGGTGGAGTTTTAGGTTTTTTGTTTTGCTTTTGTTTTTGCGGAGGATGGTGAATAAATATTATTCTCTACATGAAGATAAGGGGAGGAACCTGAGCCATTCTTAAGAAATTTTGTGTGCTTAGATAAGATATCAAAGACCATTTAGAGATGGGTGGTTTGAGTCTTCTAGGACTCGTACAGCTGTGTTCGGACTGGTTAGCACCGTTTCTCTGTGTTCTGGGAACTCTTGCTCTGCTGAAGAGTTATCTCTGCATCAGCAGTCATAGGCAGTGTCAGTGCTGCTGCTCAGGGAACTAAAAGAAATAATGTCAGCTTCTGCAACTGAAGAAATAGGAAAAATCTCTTTGAATATGACAAAGTCAATAGGTGAGAATCTTCTTTCTCTGTAAAGATTTCTGGCAGAGCAGCAATGTGGAACTGAGGTGGCTATTGCCACAGGTACTGCGATATCCTTTCTGTTAGGCTGTATTGGTTTTTTGGTGCATGTGGTATCTTAAGGGGCTAGGAGGGAAAAAAGTGCACTTCTTCGTAACTTTAGATCTGAAACTAGTAGTGATATGGAGGAGGGATGGAGATTATGTGGTTGTATGCATGACCTTGTATTTTTTTTACCTTTTCTCAAAGTATTACCACCAAAGCTATTGGCCTTCCATGGTGTATGTACAGCCAGTGCTGCCACCGTCACCTGTGGAAGTTTATCCAGCATACACTGAGCCAGCTCCTGTCCTAGATCAGTCAGTACCTCAGCTCTACACTGATGCTGGGCGAACTGAAGTCCACCAGGTTCCCTTGGAAGCACCTGCAAATGGTTAGTATTTGAGTGTAAGACCACATACACAACTAATGAGAAGTGAGGGAATAGGTTTTCCAAGCACGACTGCTCCATAGGAGCTGCTTGCCTCCAGCTTTGCTATCCTATAGGAAGCGTAAGGTTGGGAGGGCATAGAGTAAGCCTTGTAAGGGGTTATCACAAGTTCTTCTGCCATCTGTGGTACTACTTAAAGCATGTTAGAATCACTGGTGTAGCCACCACTGTCTCAAAGGCTTTCTAAAGTCATAAAAATGCTTACCTAGGCCCATACTACATATGTTGACTTTAACTTGGGAGAACTTTCTCTAAAATTGTGACAGAATCTCTTTGCTTACGGATAAGCAAATAGTCATGGTATCAAAACAGAATGCCTGTAAAGTAGGAGTAAAGAATGCCTAAACAGAATTCCTGTAAAGTAAAGGAGACAGCTGAGTTTTGGCAAGCACTGAGCATTGATACCTCAGCTCCATGGGAATTTTTAAAAGGAGGATGTTGCAAACCTTGGGTTTAGGCTCAGCATGCCAAGCTGCTCTCTCTTGAGCAGCCTTTACTGCTAACTGTGTCTCTTACTGCATGTAAAATTTACAGCAAAACTTAGTTTCACCTAGCAGCTTTGTAACAAGCTTGTAGATGCACTTGGCAGTCAACAGGAGGATTGTATTAAATGAGGAAAAAGATGTCAAAAAGGTCAGATGCCTAGCTCATTAAAATCTATGAAACATGGCAAATGGTCAGTGTTGGAGAGGAGCGTGTTGTAACAAGGCTGTTGCTCGGAGGCTTACAGGCTTATTGCTGTGATAATGCTTTAGTCTGTTTGGCTAGGGTGGTTCTTTTGCTTAGATTAGTGTCATATGGTCAGAAATCAAATAGAGGAAGAATATATTAGCTCTCTACCTGAATCCCTCTTGAAAGAGCTACCACTCCAAAGCAGAATGCTGCTAAGCAATTCTTGAACCAGGCTTAGTGAGAAGAGGAGCAAGTTGTCCTCTAGTCTAACTCAGGACCCAAAATGATTTTGACTCCTCTGTTAGGAAAGACATAAATAGGCATAAAATTGTTATCTAAATGGATTTTTCCCTTTTGGCCACCAAAATAATGCTGTATTCATGGTAATGAAAGTCTGCATAGAAAGGCCATAGATATGGTAAAATATGGTAAGTGTGTATATTTTGTTCTGTTTTTTTAAGGTAACTTTCAGAATGCAGAACCTCCACCCCTGTCCTATGGGCCAGTATATTACCCAGTCGTGTCGGACCCCTTCAGCCAGCAATCTCTTCCTGGGTTTGATTCTTTAGTTCCTGCCTATCGCTATATTAGTAGCTGGCATCCAGTAAATCCAGCATATGGAAATTCTCCACAAATTGCTAATGCTGTAAGTTCTGGACCACTGCACCAAGTCAGCTATATTGCCTCACCTAACCCTGCACCTCATGATGTGCCTCAAGGAATGTAAATCTGGGAGCTATAAGCTCACTCCTGTCCTTCGTTTCTCTTGCTTCTCCTTTGACAACTATATGTTAATATTGTTTCATCAATGTTATCCTGTCTTAGTGGGCTGGGTCAGTTGATCAAACTGCATTCAACTTTCATGTTTCTCTTCAGGTTTATGTTAGTGATAGTTGACTTGACAAGATGTTTTAGTTTATTACGTAGGAAAACACAGGAAAAGAGTATACACAAACTATAGTGCAGGAAACACAGCTTGAATTTGACTTCATGAAGTATGTAAATGCATATGCTGTCACTAAAGGACTCTTGCATCATGTACCTCTGAAGGGGTTGCACTGGAACACTTACACACCTACTTCTTGTTTAAGCACTGAAATAGGCTGCTGTTACAACTACGGATAAAAATTGGGCACAGGGTCATTAGAGGATGAAAATATTTGAAATAGGTTGGCTTTCTCAGATTTCGCAAAACAAAACTTCTTTGCCACTAGTGGTCACGCATTTGTATTCTGTTTTTCTTCTAATTTAATTTTGTGTAGGTTTTGTGACTCTTGAAAGTGTAAGAATACTGGTTTCATCTGTTGTATGTTGCTGTATGTTTGTAAGATTTGTTTTGTGAAAGCTGTTGCACAAATGGTGGTAGTCTTGGTGTTTAATTTGCACTGATAGCACAAAATAAAAGCATTGAACACATGAAAATGAGTGGTCATTTATCACTGGCAGTTTATGTTCCTGACAATTAGCCATCCAACAGCCTGGACTGAAGAAATGTAGTTGTCTTGTGTGGGATAAGGGAGTTCCAGCCTTCCATGAGAAAGCAGCAAAAGCTTTCAGCGTGAGAATGAAGTGCAGCTCTAGCTGTTTTTTTGTTGATAAGTTTAGGAAGAAAATATTGAATAGTCTGTGCCTGTGAACTGTAGATCTTTGAAATGACTGTCTGCACAGACCCTGTCCTTGATAGAAACTGGTACTGTATGTGTAAAATCAACAAGAAGTGGGTGTGAGTTGTGCCCTGCCCACAGCCATGGGGGCATCATGGTGGCATAGCCCTGTCCTGGGATGACAATCAAGGGCTTGAGTGTGGGTTATGCTGGTTCAGTGCTGGAGACCCTCAAAACCAGCAGAGACACTTACTTAACAAATCTTTAACTCGTTTGTAGAGGCAGCCTACTGAATACTCTGACTCTTTTCCAGGTGATGGTGAACTCTGCAGCAATCTCAACCTCAGCAGGTGTTTATGCTGCTCCAGCTACAGGCTTCTCCTCCAGTTCTGCTGCCTCCACTCCAGCCAGTGTCACAACAGCAGTTCCCCCACAAACAGCAGTTCAGCCAGTCATAGTATCTCCCCTTTCTCTAGGGAGGCCAGGTAGAGTGTACATACTACAGCTATGGACTTGGATGTCTTAAGTTTTTGGTTACGTCTTCCCCTCCTGTTTGTGTTTGGTTTTTTTTTCTGCCTATCCAAGACAAATGTTAAAAGGCTTTAACAACAACAACAAAAAGTATCACTTGCTTTGGTGTCAAGTGACTTAACAGTAGTTGCAACTTCACTGCTGACTTCTTGCTTCCATGTTTTGAATGGGAGAGTTGGTGAATTTGCATGGGAATTGGAGGTCTCTGCTTTGGGTTCCCCCCTTGCCACCTTTAGCCATCAGTGGCAAGTGTTTTGCTAGGAAGTTGTTTTCAGAAGGCAGAAGTTCATGGGAGTTCCCTTCTCCCCCTATTTCCTACAGTTGATTTTCTTCTTGAGTTGATATATTGGTTAGGACTGTAGAAGAAAACTTGGTTATTCAGCCTGCTTGTCACCTTGATGGCAAGATTCAGCTTGTCCTAATATGTAGTGCTCAGACTGGAGCAGAAACGGT